CAATGTCATCAGCAAAGCGGAGGTGGTGTAGTTGCCGACCATCTATCTTCACTCCCATTCCTTCCCATTCCAGTCGTCGCATGATGTTCTCGAGGGTGGCACTGAAGAGTTTTGGTGAAATGGTATCACCCTGCCGCACCCCTCTCTTGACATCAACGATCACTTCTTTGTAGAATGGTGAGATCCTGGTAGTGAATCCGCAATACAGCTCACGGAGGATCCTGATGTATTGGGCTTGAATGCCCTGATTGGCTAGGGCTTCAATGACCGCTTCCGTCTCAACAGAATCAAAGGCCTTCTTTAAATCAATGAACGTTAAGCAGAGTGGCATCTTGAACTCCCGAGAAACCTCAATGAGTTTGGTTATCGTGTGGATATGGTCGATGGTGCTGAATCCTTTGCGGAACCCTGCTTGCTCACATGGTTGTCCTTCATCTAGTGTTCTGCCAATCCTATTCAGGATGACTCGAGTGAACAACTTGTAGATGACAGACAATAGGCAGATCGGGCGATAGTTGCCAATGTCATGGATGTCTCCCTTCTTGAACAGTAGTACGGTCCTGCTGGTTTTCCATTGAGATGGAACCTTGCATTCAGACAGGTAGCGAGTGAAGAGCCGAGCCAGTGTATTGATGAGTACTGACGGCAGGTTCTTCAGGTGTTCAGGTCTGACCTTGTCTGGGCCGGGTGCTGTTTGCTTCTTTACTGACGAAATGGCGTGTCGGATTTCGGAAGGGAGAACGTTGTGCTAAAAATGCCAAGTATTATGACAGATGTCCAAAGGCCAGAGAAACTAAGATGTAGTCTTCAGGAGGAAGCTTACTGGGGGATTTGGGGGTGGGAAACAGACACTGGGACAATGGTGGAAGGAAGTGGACACTCTGGTGGACATCGGGCTCCCAACACTGATTTGATCCCTGGCATCCATATGGTCCTCTGAGACCCAACAGGAGTTTTCCCCAAACAATCCAGGGTTGACCTTAAAAAAAAAAAAGTTCATTTGTGGGCTGGAGAGTTAGTACAGTGAGTAAGGTGCTTTGCCTTGCAGGCTACCCAAGTTCAATTCTCAGTATCCCATGTGTTCGCCTGAGCACTGCCAGGAGTGATTCCTGAATGCAGAGCCAGGAGTTAACCTTAAGCATCACCAGCTGTGGCCTATCCCGCCCCCCCAAAAAAACCCCAAAATTCATTTAATTCAATAGTTCTCTATTGAAAGTATCAGTTAGTCTCAAGGCTGGTGTGATAGTGCAGAAGGTAGGGCATTTGCCTTGCATGTGACTGACCCTAGTTTTATCCCTGGCAACCTAGATGGTCCCCCAAGCACTGCCTCTGAGCATCACCGGATGTGGCCCAAAAATAAATGAACAAAAAAAAATGCAAAACATTAAATCTCAGTGGTAAGCACTGTTAACATTTTTGATTATATTATCCTTCCATTATTTATTTACAAATATACAAATGTGTGTATATTTATAAATATAAATACATTTATGTTTATAAATGCACACACACATAACTTGCCAGCATATCAGCTATGGTCCTTCTCAGCTAAATTACTAGGTAAAAGAACAATACCCATTGTGTGGATCAAGAAGTTGTGTGTTTGCACAACAGAATTCTGTGCAGCACTAACAAAGGACAAAAATCATGCTGTCTGTCATGAAGTGGATGGAACTAGAGGATTGAAGTTAGAAGGAAAGGATGCAGAATGATCTCTCATGTGTGGCACTTAAAGATATAGCAAGGTAGCAGCAGAGGATCAGATTCAACCAAATGGGAGAGTTGAGTTGACTTCTATAACTTGAGTTTGCAGGTCTTTGGGCGGGATTCTAAGGAGAGATCTTAGGAATCTTGGTACTCTGGAGATGGGAAAGGTGTTGGAAATGTGTACATATGAAACCATCATTAACAGTATTGTAAATCATAGTACCTCAGTCAATAAACATAAAAAAATTAAATACAAATTAATTGAAATAAAGTTTTATTTGCACACATAAAAACAAAACCATTCTAGAGCTGGAAACTTCATGGAAATGAAAACTGGGTTTGTTTATTTGTTTAGCTTATTATTCTGTTTATATATTAAGCCCTAGAGCTATTAGAAATGGAAATAAAGCTCTATAATATAGATTAGGGAAATCAAAGGTTTCCTACTGTAAAAAAAATATACGCGCAAAAGGATGGAATGATGTGTTCGTGGGCTCTCCTGGTGGCTCTCACCGCCCACGTTCAGTGCTCTTGAGCTGCTGCATATGGACCGAATCGGGATAACTTGGTGATGGGCAGGCGAAGGAAGCGTGAGGACCGAGCTGGTTGTTCATTAATTGCTGTTTATTCCATCTCTTGTCTCTTCCATCTGACATACTCTTCCTTCCTAGCCCCTCATTGCTAGATCCCAGATCCCCTGACTCTGACTGCTTCTCATTCTGATGACTGACTGTCTTCTGCCTCTGATCCCTTCTTGCTCTGAGAACTCCCTGACTCTCCTTTTCTGACTGACTCTCTTTCAGTCTTAGTTTATATAGCAATCACATAGGGTGGTGATACAAAGATGGGGTTGAACATAAACAAATAAACTAAGAGGTAAGGCCATTCCTCCAGGAGATTAAAAGGTAAAAAGTAAAGGCCCTCCCGTTGATCATCGATTTGCTCAAGCGGGCCCAGTAACGTCTCCATTGGAGACTTTGTTGTTAATCTCATCTAAGGAGATCTGCTTAAGGGGGGATCCCATCCAGAGTATGTGCTTCTTTCCTCTGCTAGTAATCCACTTAAATAGTTGTAGTAAATCTACTTCTAGTATTCCTAGCAATGTCATTCTGTATGAGCACAGTAAGAGATATATCAAACTTAAACTTTGGTTCTTCCTGAGGACATCTCACTATATATTCCAGACCACAGTCCTCAGGCCATGTTAGTCTTCCTAACCCCAGCCGGGTCCTGGTCTCGTTACTTTTGGATCATGACAGCATTTGTCCATTACCATGCACTCAACTTATAGTTGAGTATTGTGGCGCTTTGGCTTGGCCCATTTTGATGCCAGGGTAGCTCACAACTTGCCCTGGGTCCATTCAGTCCCTCATCAGAACACTGCTTTTGGGGTGCTAGGAACTAAGGGCAACTGAGTCGAGAAAGTAGATGCCCAGGAGTAAATATCATTGGAGTCAATTAACTCCCAAGTTACAAAAGCATAATATTAACTATCTTCCTGTGTCCATACAGAAAGGACATTGCTTTAAGGAAAACTATGTAAAAGATTTATATAAAACTATTAACTTACAAGTTCAGTGTTCTTAGAAGGATTTGATCTTACAAGCTAACAGAATCTGATCAGGGAAAATGTGATTAACTGGTTGGGGAGGAGGGCACAGAGAAGAGTTTACAGATAAGCAAAGGAATTGGGAGCACTGTGATGGGTGTAAGCCGATAAACCTAAGTTGACTGCAGCAAGGCTGAAAGGACAAACTCAGCGTTTGTCCTTTTCTTTTCACAAAAACACAAAAATTTGAATTAGAGGAACAATTCCAAATCATAATACAGTTTTATTATTTGTACTAAGATTTCTGTTCAACCCTGAACCCAGAGCAGTGCTTGTAATAAAGTGCCCAGTTGTCTTGCACTTTCCAGGGATGATCAGTCACCTTTCTGTGTTTTGACAACATCATGCTTCTCGATGAGGTTTCTAGAGCTATTCTGGCAACAGTAGCGGTAGTGATCACTTCATTGAGTCTCTGGAGAACTTCAGTCAGAAGTTTAACAAATTGTCAGACAGTCTTGTAAAGAAGCTAGAAAACCTTTTTTGTAGTTTCTCTGATGCTGACTCCTCCGATTTCCTTGTTGACTTTCAGCTGAAATTGGTTTGGCTGACTGGAGTTTAGGGGGTTAAGTAGTTTCTGATGGTTTGAGGGTTGAATTCGGTGAATCAATTCGACTTCTGACGAGATGTAGTGGAACCCAAATATTTTTTGTGGGTCTGTTACCTGTTAAATATATAAGCATAGACTTTTCCTCCTATGAGGAGTTTCCCCTATACATTCAAGTGGGGAAATACCTCCTTTTTTGTTTTTAACATGCCATATATCCACTGAATATGGAAAGGTGGTGGGCTTAAAGTTGCAGTGTTCCCTTTTTAAAAGGGTTGACTTTAGAATCAGAGCCCACAGTGGGAACTGGAATGGGAATCCTAATCTCCCCTTGCCATTGCTCAAGTAAATCTTGTCCTCAGAAACTCAGAGGTATGGGTACTACGTAGGGCTGGAATGTGGCTGTAACGCCCTTGGGGCCAATATATTTTAACTGTCTGTCACTATGCCGGACAGAGGAAGAAGGCATCATGCCTACTCCATGCAAACCGTAGGGTATTGCCTGCACGGCACAGTTGCAGGGCCAATATTGGGTAGAAATTATAGAGGCGTCGGCTTCTGAGTCAATCATTCCCTTAAATTTCTTTCCATGAATCTCAAGAGTTAGAAGTGAGCCGTCACCCTCTCTAAGACAGACTACATAGGCAATCATAAGATTGCTGCTGCTAAAACCTCCCTGCTAGGGTTAGTGGATTGGTCTGGCATAACAGAAGGAAGCAAGAGAAACTGAGCAGTGTGCCCTTCCTTATTCAATGTCCAAACAGTTGGCACCATGACAACGGTTGTTATTTCACCAGTATAATCAGAATCATTGACCACAGTATGAACAGTAATTCCCTTAACAGTGAAGCTGCTTATCCCTAAGAGTAGGCCTATAGTGCCTCATGAGATTGGTCCCTTCACACCAGAATTTAATTTGTAGGGACACTGGGGAGGGGTTATAACAATCGTATCAGGGCAGGAAATATACAAAGCTGCGCTTCCTACTACTTAGTCTTTTTTTCCTATGAACAAAATCTGAGTTTCCAATTACTACTAAAAATGATATAGGCTTATCTCAGATATTTTATACTGTGTTAAAGAGATTTTTGTTTTGTTTTCTTTGCCATTTTCTCATTGGTTATTTTTTGTTTCCTGCAGTAAAGACTAGATTTTCGTACGCCTTTCCAAAGGAATTTCCTTATAGGATGAACCATGTAAGTATATCATATAAAGTAAAACTACTTGGCAAACAGTGATTGTTGGAAACGATCACTCTGGACAAGAACTGAATGCTGAAAGTAGGTAAAGAGATATACATGATAATCTGTCATTACCTATATTACAAACCATAATGCCTAGGAGGAAAGAGGGAGTGAGAGAGAGAAAAAGAAGAAAAGTACCTGCAATAAAGGCAGGCTGGGCTGGGAGTGGGGAAGTAGGCTGGTAGGGAATGTGGTGGGAGAGAAACTGGGGACATTGGTGGTGAGAAGTGTACACTGGTGAAGAGATGGGTATTGGAGCATTGTATGATTGAAACCCAATCATGAACAACCTTGTAACTGTGAATCATGATGATTCAATTAAAAAAATAAACTACTTGTCAAAGCTATATGTAAGTTAACTCCATTCTTTATTAAACTGAGTAGTCTCCTAGAAAGGATAGTTTCAGATATGGCAATAATAGCACTGTACACTGTCCTCCCGTTGTTCATCAATTTGCTTGAGCGGGTACCAGTACCGTCTCCATTGTGAGACTCGTTACTGTTTTGGCATATTGAATACGCCATGGGGAGCTTGCCAGGCTCTGCAGTGCGGGAGGCGGGATACTCTCGGTAGGTAGCCGGGCTCTCGGAGAGGGGTGGAGGAATCGAACCCGGGTCTCCGGGTTGACCACGTGCAAGGCAAACGCCCTACTCGCTGTGCTATTACTCCAGCCCATGGCAATAATATATATTATAATTCTGAATTAAATAATAACTGCTTGTCATTAAAAATTTTAGCAACAGTTATCGGTCTTGGTTGTCCAGCAAAATACTTTAAGGATGTTTTATAACAGAATAGGAGACTAACACCCAAGAATAGTAGAGATAAGGACCACAAGGTTTACCCAGTGGCTTGGAGGCCAGGCTCACATGCTGGGGGAAAAGACAGCTCATATAAAGAAGGGAACACCAAGTAAAGGGTGTCTGGAGGACCCACTCAAGTTGGAAGATGCATGCCAAATATAGACTATAGATCAAACACAATGGCCACTCATCGTCTCTATTGCAAACCACAACACCCAAAAGGAGAGAAAGAAAAAGGGAATGCCCTGCTGCAGAGGCAGGGGTGGGGGGGGATGAGGGGGTGGTGGGAGGGATGCTGGGACCATTGGTGGTGGGAAAATGGGCACTGGTGGAGGGATGGGTACTTGATCATTGTATAACTAAAATATAAGCACTAGAAGTTTGTAAGTCTGTTATTGTACCTCATGGTGATTCACTAATAAAAAATTTAAAAAATACTTTAAGGATGTTTTAATACTCTGGCCAGCCCTCTTCAGATCAATTAAATCAATTTTTAGGTTATAGATTAATGTTAAGTTTAAGACACTAGTATTTTCTGAAAGTTCTCAGGTGATGCTAATATGTAACTTGGGATTGACAACAAGTAAATTGGAGTACTATGGAAACCATATTTGAAATTTTACATTATTTTAAAATACAAATTTCTGTTGAAGTTTTATTAGACATGGTCTTTCATTACCTTGTAAGGCTCTTTATCTTCTTTTTTTTTAAATTTTTTTATTATTGAATCACTGTGAGGTACAGTTACAGACTTACAAACTTTTGTGCTTGTGTTTCGGTCATACAATGATTGAGTACCCATCCCTCCATCAGTGCTCGTTTTCCACCACCAATGGTCCCAGCATCCCTCCCACCACCCCCACCCTGTTCCCTCCACCCCATCCCACCTCTGTGGCAGGGCATTCCCTTTTGCGCTCTCTCTCTCTCTCTCTCTCTCTCTCTCTCCTTTTGGGTGTTGTGGTTTGCAGTGCAGGTATTAAGTTAATGCAGGCCATCATGTTCGGTCTATAGTCTACATACCTGGGTCACTCTGCCGATTCCTTCATGCGTGAGGCTCATCCGAGCTTATGGAGAGTGGCCCTGAGCATGGCTGTGACTGGGCTCTGAATGTTTTCGGCTACTTGGGGCAGGGAGGGAAACTCAACCTGCCTCTCTCCAAGGGGTCCCGCTGAGGACAGTCAGGTGTGGGGGCAGGAGACTTTGCTGAATTCCATAAAAGAATTAAAATTCTTGGGGCTGGAGCGATAGCACAGTGGGTAGGGCATTTGCCTTGCACGTGACCGACTCGGAATCGATTCCCAGCATCCCATATGGTCCCCCCAAGCACCGCCAGGAGTGTCCTGAGTTCAGATCCAGAAGGAACCCCTGAGTATCGCTCGGTGTGATTCCCCCCCCAAAGAAAGAAAGAATTAAAATTCTTATTTAATTATAGTAACAGTTGTATGTATGCAATGTATAAAAGTAATTGTTTATTGCACATGTTTATTCTAATGTAAACTGATTTTTCTTACTCAAAATTTTTACAGAAATTTGTAATTACTATAAAGTGTAACCAAGTTCTAAAAGTGAACTCATCTAATTTTGTTTCATGTTGACATTTATATATATATTTCTCTTTTTTTCCAAACAGATACTAGAATGTGAATTCTATCTTTTAGAACTAATGGTAAGTATATTTGTTCTCTATGATTAATGAAGTAAAATCTGTTATACCAGAGTCAGACATTTAAAGAAATTACATGTAGGGAGGTATATTTTAAAACCACCCAAATAATATGTGATGGTGAAATTATATCTAGTAGCTTGTTACTTACATCCACATGGATTTGAAAAATTGATGTATCCTGCTTAGAATGGGAACATAGTTTTATTCATAATAACTATAAGAAGATTGCAAGCAAAGCATTCAGGACATTAAACCACTGTAAATTATTTGCACAATTTGTGTATGTGTGTGGTATTATTTAAAGATAGATTATGTCTTTGGCAGAATTCTGCTCCTCCACTTGGGAATTACGGATTTATAGGCTAATAAGAGGTTTCAGTGTGTTGCAGATGTGACACTTTGAGTCTCTAAGGGAGTGGATGCTGACTGACTGCCAACCGATTTGCCAAGGTATATTTCAGAGAGAGCACTGCCTTTACGATTATAGTAGAGTTTAGGGTTGCCATATTGCTTGCTTTAGAGAATAAGAGGAAAGCAAGCATGAATTAGATAAAATATTTTGGAACACACTCAACAATCAGTTGGATAATGATAAGTTTTTGGGTAATGGTAAGGTGTTGTAATAAATATGTTTTTATACATACACGTTTTTTAAACTGTTTCTAGGATTGTTGCTTGATAGTGTATCATCCTTATAGACCTTTGCTCCAGTATGTGCAGGACATGGGCCAAGAGGACATGTTGCTTCCCCTTGCATGGTAACTAGAAAAGAAATTATTCATAGTATAACATGTTAGTAACTAGGAAGGTTGATAACTTAATGAAGATTAATAATTTTATAGTAATTAAACTAATATACCAAGATTATTTTGAATAAACTGTTTTTATTAAATTTCAATGATATATTGATATAAATGCTAAAATATTAAAGATCTTTGATACTTTAATTTTTTAAAATTAGAAATGTTTCTAATTTGTGATGCTTAAATACCTAAGATATATTTACCTGCAACTTTAATCTCGAAAATGTTTTTTATATGTCACATTTATGTATCCATCTTTTTCCCCTGATGTTTTCACCTAATATCTGTACAAGACTTATATCTGTGCAAATATGGGGAATGTGGCTCTGGATGGGATCATAGGAGGAAGTTTTACTTCAAAGTAACAAAATTTACTTTTCTTTAGGAGGATAGTGAATGATACCTACAGGACGGATCTTTGCCTACTATATCCTCCTTTCATGATAGCTTTAGGTATGTAAGCTTTGTATACCTTTGTTATAATTAGTATGTCCTGAAAAAATTTTACCCTATTGTACTTTGTTTTTATTTTATTTTATTTACTTTTAATGTAGGACTACTGCTATTTATTCAGCTACTGATTTAGTTGACTGAAGTGGGCATGAACTTCATGTTGCCCTTTTTTTTTTTAATTTTTAAATTCAATATCCATAAGATAGACCATTACAAAGCTGTTCATGATTGGTTGCAGTTATATAATGATCCGACACCCATCCCTCCACAGTATACATTTCCCACCACCAATGTCTCCTCTTTCCCTCGCAGCATTCCCCAACAGTCCACCTCCCCACCCCCAGTCTGCCTCTATGGCAGGGACTTTCTTTTTTCTCTCTCCTCTTTTTCTTTTGTGCATTATGGTTTGTGATACAGGTATTAAGAGGTCATTGTCATCATCGTGTTTGTTCAGGGCATTTAGTATTTATGTTGAGAAGGTAAGGCTGGAATAGTTTTTTAACTGGGTGGCAGCTTTAGGGTGTATATGTAACTGCCCAGGCTTTAGGAAGTACAAGGAGGTGGGAGGAGGTAGCCCATCCTGACCCCAAGAAAGCCTGGAGATTCTAGTCACAAAACCCTCAGACCCAAATTTTCAGCCAATTATGTCTTGGTGAGTTCCATCCCAAGATGATAGAGTAGAGTGCAGCCAGGGACATGGCTGGAGCTTTTGGATTGTGGAAGCAAGCACCTAATGGGGGCTCTGTTTGGGTGGGTACCAGGCTGACCCACCTCTCTCTGATTTACCCCAGTCTATTAAGCCTTGAGCGAGTCCGAGATTAACAGTGGCTTTTGATCACTTTCCTGAAGCAAGGCCGATAGAAGAGTTTGCATGATGGTGCTGCAGTTGATTCATGGGGATGACTTCCAGTGCTGCAAGAAGTATTGGGAGGTGGGAGGTAGCCTATCCCACTCCAAGAAAGCCTGGAGATTGCAGTCAAAAAGCCTGCATATCCAAATTTTCTACAGGTTAATATCTCGGTGAAGTCCATCCTGAGATGGTGGAGTCCATCCAGGGCGTGGCAGCGATTTTGGATTGTGGGAGCAGGCGGCTGCCAGAGGCTCTGTTTGCGCAGGCACCAGGCTGACCCGCTCTCCTCCAATTTAGCCTGGGTCAGACATTAACTGCAGCTTTTGATTTTGAAGCCAGGTTGATAAATGAACTTTGTAAACTGAACTGGAGGTAGTTTGGGGGTGTGGCTCTGACAAACCTAAATTTCGGTCCTTTAATTGCTCAGGAAACTTGGTCCCAAGTTGTTGGGCTCTGGCCTGAGGCACAGCGGCAATTTTGGGGTATCAGGAAGCCTGAATGCACCATCAGGCTGCTGGTTTACTTGCCCTGCAGGTACAGGTTGACCTGTTGGCGACACCGCACCCCCACTTTGTGTTTTTAGTATTTCTCAAAGTAATAGACTGATTTTTGGTGAAGTTTCAGTAGTAAGAACAATCACTGTCAGAGTCAGAATTGTCTCTCTACCACTTTCTAGTTAAAAATATCTGAATAGAATTCTGATAGTTTGGGTTCTAATTTATACAAGAGCTTGTTTAATTTTTTTCACTGAGCTAGTTAAGTCCTGAGAGGTTGAGTAAAGTAGCATTGTGGTCCTTAATGCTTTGATTGAGGGAGAAGTTAGCTATCATCCAAATGTGAAAGGTACTTGTAGATGGCTTATGATATCTAAAAGCACATAATACCTACCTGTGTATTACTACTTGTTAGTTCTTTTCCCTTGCTTCTTTTGATTTCCATCTCTATTCTCTTGGCCTCACCATTGTTTTTCTCTTTGGATTTATTTTCATTGGTTTCTCTATATCCATTTTGGTTTTTGGACACACCCACTCTGGTGCTTAGGGATGCTTCCCAGCAGTGCTCAGAGAGTCATGCCTTGCTTGGGATCCAGCGCTGTGCTCCTACATGCAAAGCATGTGCTTCAGCCCTTCTAGTCATTTCTTTGGCTTTCAGTTATTTCTTTTCTTGTGTGGTTTTGGTTTTGCTTTTTGGGTCACACCCAGCGATGCTTGGTCACTCCTGCCTCTGCACACACGAATCACTCTTGGATATACCCATGGGACCATATGGGATGCTGGGGATCAAACCTGGGTCAGCTGTGTACAAAACAAGTACCTATCTCTCCAGCCCCCTTCAATTATTTCTTAAATGTTAGTGTTTCAGAAACTTCACTGTCACTGTCACTATCCTCCCATTGTTCATTGATTTGCTCGAGCGGGCCCAGTAACGTCTCCATTGTGAGACTTCTTGTTACTGTGTTTGGCATATTGAATACTCTTGGTAGCTTGCCAGGCTCTCTGAGAGGGCGGTGGAATCGAACCTGGCTTGGCCGGGCTGGCTGCGCGCAAGGCAAACACCCTACCGCTGTGCTATCACTCCAGCAGAAACTTTACATGAATGACAAATAGGTTATACTTTCTTAGTGCTAGTTTCTCCTGAAAACAGGACTACTAAGATCTATGGGAGGAAGGAGGGAATAGCTGGGCATATGCCACATATTTCACATTCTTTTTGTTGTTGTTGTTGTTGTTGTCGTTGTTCTTTCTAGCTAGTCTCATTAAGGCCCATGATTCTTATTATTTCTTATGTGCTAAAATTTGTTTATTGTCTGGGGGGGTACCATACTGGCAGTTTTGGGAGGTTGTTCCCAGTAGTGGCTTGGAGATTAATATCAGGGCCCCCACCCGGACTGCCACATGCAGAGCATCTTTGAACCATCTCCGCCACTCTAAAATCATTTAATTTTCTTAACCAAGATTTTATTCCTGTGGGCTGGAGGGAGAGGTCAGATCAAAGCACTTCTCTTGCATGCAGCTAGTTCCAGTTGATCTCTAGTACCACATATTGACCTTGAAGCACAGAACCAAGAGTAAGCCCTAATCACTGCTGAGGTGTAGCCTCCAAACAAAAAGATGTTACTTTGAACAGTTTTGTTTATTTAAAATCCAGCTGACTTTTAAGTAGCTCCATATGGCATTTGCCTCGCCCTCAAATGCATGATCAGGACTGCACTAATAATCACTTTGTTCTGATATGGTCTTCTTTTAAAATCTTTGCAATTTTGGCATAGCACTGGTTCCCTTCTTAGGAAACCATGTTAAGCTTGTTTATCTCCCATAACAGTAAGTACATTGATTTGGTAATTAGTGCCTAGTGACTTGCTCTCAGGGTTCATAGACATATTCTCATTTCTATCTAAGTTGCCATTTAGCCATCTTCTCATTGGCTAATTGGCCTGTTGCCTCCCTGCTCTCACAGAATCAGCATGTCTTTTCTACACTAGCAGTGTACAGCTAAACCAGAGGCTTTCAGCCAAGGATAATTTTTTCCCCCAGCTATGTTTGTCATATCTAAAGATGGTTTGGTTGTCATAACTCTGGCATCTGGTGAGTAAATAGTAAAAGCCAGGGAAACTTCTAGGTAGTACTCATGTTAGTCTCAAAGAATTAAATCAGGTCACAGTGTCAGTAGTGTCATATTGATTTTCCTGAGTAAAAAGGAGCTTTTGAAAATGAGGAATTGTCTCCCAGTTTCTGTATGTAATTCGTAGCTGCTTTTACCATTTATATACATACTTATTCTGTGCTTCCGTTCTCACCTTATTTAGAGTTGGCTCAGATAACTTTGAGCAGCACCCTCCTTTGCCTCCTCCATCCACTCCTGACCTCTTCTGTTAAATGAATTTGTCTTGATCTGGTTTACTTTATGCAGGCCCCTGTCATGGCATTTTCTACTCTTTAAAATTACTTTTTATTATAATTTTAGGCCTTTGACCTCTCACTTCTTCCTAAACCTAAGTTCTGCTTCATAGCTTCTCTTGACTTGGAGCAATCAGTACATTAGTTCACTAATGTGTCATTTAGTAGTGTCTTATGATAAACAGAACAGAAATATAATTCTTAATCAACTAGAGTATTGGATCAGAGTAACCAGGTTGGTCAGTGGAATTATAGTATGCAAAATTACCATGTAGATTTTTGTCTTCTGCTGTCTTTGTTTTATATGTGTGTCTGTTATATATGTGTTCTGTATAATAATCGTGTAGTCATATTTATTAAGTCCTATTTGATTATGCTAAATTCTGTACAGTTGTACCCCATTTTCACCTAAGGATACTATTCTAATATTAAGAAAGCTGAGATAATACTACTTTGAGGACTGGAGCAGTAGAACAACATATAGGGTGTTTGCCTTGCATGCAGCCGACCCAGATTTGATCCCTGGCACCCCTGTGTGTCCCCTGAGCGCTGCCAGAACTGATTCCTTAGTCTAGAGCGAGGACTTCGGCAGGCGTGACCCAAAAAGCCAAAACCAAAAACCCCCAAATCCCAAAAATACCACTTTGAAATGGAACATAAAAATATAGTCAATACAGGGCCAGGGTGATAGTACAGTGGGTAGGGAGCTTGCCTTGCACGCAACTGACCTGGGTTTGATTCCCGGCACTGCATCTGGTACCCTGAGCTCTGCCAGGAATGACCCCTGAGTAAAGAACCAGGAGTAAGCCCTGTTGAGTGTGGCCTCCCCCAAAAAACAAAAAAAATCTTTGTTTCTGGAGCCTTCTGTACAGCAAGTAGGGTGTTTGCTTTGCATGTGGGTTTACCTGAGTTTGATCCCCAGTATCTCATGTGGTCCCCCAGCACTGCCAGGAGTAATCTCTGAGTAACCTTTGAGCAGACCAGATGTGGCCTGAAAACCAAAACATTAAAATGAAATACAATCAGTATTGTTGAAATTTATCAGCATATTGACTGGTTGAGTTTTCTGTTCAACTGATTCATTTTTATTTATTTTTATTTAATTTTTGTATAGTAGTTCACAATAATTGCATTCAGTATTACATTCAGTATTCCAATACCAATCCCACCACCATTACACCTTCCCATCACCGTTATTTCAAATTTTCCCACCACCCAAACCTGCCCCAAAGGCGGCAGGTCCTAAATAATTTATTTTGTATTACTTCTTATGAATAATGTACTAAAAATGATCCAAAAAGTTTTCCTCAGAGGAAAATGTGTGAAAATTGTTGTATCTCACCTGGAGCCATTCAGCCCGTGTATAAGAGATCACTAACATGTTACAGCTTGAGCCTCGGATGCTAATATGCATATAGATACATATGTACCTATATATATTTTTTTCTTTTTTATCAAGATCAGTTGTCTTCTACTTTGTACCCGGACAAATGTGGTGTACTATCCTGCTACATCAGTGGCGTAGAGTATGAGATATTGCTCCAGGAATTCTAAAATTTTAAATAGGGTGATAGAGCTGGAGTTAAATTTTTAACTGGATGGTGATTGGCAGCATCATGATGGTGGAGGCGTCTCTGCATCAGTGTTGCTCTCTTCCTAGATTTGAGTCTCTGGATCATGGCTGTTACTGAGTTTATATAGTGCTTAGAACTGTTCATACTCATATTGAACATAAATTTATTTAACATTCATGATCTTTGCTATGATCTCTGGTGTTTCTCAAGCACAGTGCTCAGAGGACTGACCCTGAAGCCCTAATGCTGTCTGGGTTCAGCAGTGCTGGAGACCATCCAGGCCGACTGGTAGTAGTGGGAGCACGGTGGGAAAAGGGGCCGGGGCAGACAGTGCTAGAATTAAGCCTGAGAATTCTGGTTTTAACTCCGATGCAGGTGCATCAGCCCTTTGGCCTTCTCCCAGTTTCAGGTATCTTTTCCTGGGGAATGGGACCCAATGATGGGCTTGGGCCACACCCTGCTGTGTTCAGGGGCTATCCTTTGCTTGGTGTTTAGTGGACCATATGTGTTGCTGGGTTATGTTGAATTGGGGGTGACATGCATCAAGCATCCCCCGGAATCATTTTTATGCTCTATTTTTCATGGAGGGTTTTCCCTCTTTGACTCTCAAGGTAGCTGTACTATAAGCAAGTACAGAGGAGCAGATGTGAAGAATGTTAATAGTCTAGGAATATTTTTTTATCTATACAGATAATTTATGGGATAATCAGTGGTAACTGTTACATGAACCTATATATTTTCCACGCCCAGAGGTGCTTTGGAGCTATACACGGCTTTGCGCCAGGTGGTCACTGTTGGTAGTGCTTCAGGGATCATTCAGTTACCCAGGGCCTCTCCTATAAGCAAAGCCTGTGCTCAGCAGCATTTCTCTGGTCCCACATCATTATTTTAACTTGTCTGGAGGTGACTGACATGAATTATGCTACTGATTTATCTACGAAGGTTAGTTTAGCACAGTTACATACACACGAAAATTTTAAGTAAAAATCATAAATCCTAAGTCCATACATTCCATATTTATAGTTAATCGTGGACCTTTTCTCATTTTCTTTCCAGCTTGCCTACATGTGGCCTGTGTTGTACAGCAGAAAGATGCCAGGCAGTGGTTTGCTGAGCTTTCTGTGGATATGGAGAAGGTATTCTTTATAATTCCTTGAGTTTAATATATTATATATTTGAAAATTAATAATCACGTGCCTGTATCATGAGCCTTAAACTTTGATTTTTTGTTCTGGGACGAGACCCTGTGATGCTTAGGGTTTACTCCTGGTGATGCACTCAGGAATTACTCCTGGCCAAGTGCTTGGGAGACCATAGGGCATGCAGGTGATCAAACCGGATTGCCTGCATGCAAGAGAAGTATCTTACCCACTGTACTGTCACTCTGGCCCTAATATGTTGGATTTTTTTTTTTTTTAAAGAAGTGGTATTGGTGATGTGTTGGTATTGGTATAAACTATTTTTTTTTTCTTGCTTTTTTGAGTAACACCCAGCAATGCAGGGGTTACTGCTGGCTCTGCACTAAGGAGTTACTCCTGGCGGTGCTCAGGGGACCATATGGGATGCTGGGAATCAAACCTGGGTCGGCCGCGTGCAAGGCAAATGCCCTACCCACTGTGCTATCTCTCCAGCCTCAACAGAGTAAACTTTTGATTTTATTGGTTGTAGGGTAGCATCTAATTTCCAAGATTATTTTAAAATTAACTTTACATAGTACTGCAGACTTTTGTAATAAAGCCTATTTTTGACAAATGTGATTTTGCCTTTTTTTTCTCTTTCTAACCCTTTAACTGAAATGTTGATAACATTAGAATAATCCAAGGTTGCACATTGCAGACCTAGGTTTGATTCCCAGTATTCCATTTGTTCCTCTGAGCACTGCTGGGTGTGGCTCAAAAACAAAAAAAAGAAGAAGAAAAGAATAATCCAAGGTTAAGTCTACTTAGGAGATGAAAAAAGGGCTGATTTGAAAAATGAATGGATGAAATTTTAGCTGCTATGATTGAGCACCTTGTTTCATATGTTGTAAACAAAATCAGCCCAACATCTTTTGTACATTACATTCATTAACTTGTAACAGTTGGCAGTAATGGGTACTCTAGTGACTTTCTGAATTAGACCTTCATACTCTTTTTTGGGAGTGGGAGGGGGGTTGGTCACACCCAGTGGTACTCATGACCTTCTGCTGACTGTGCTCAGGGATCACTCCTGGCAGGACTTGAAGGGACCATATCGATTACAGGTGGTTGGTTCTAACCTAGGGAACCCATATCTGCCATGGACAAGGCAAGTGCCTTTCACGCTCTATTGCTTTGGCCCTATTTTGTTTTAAGATACTAGCAGATAAAAAGGAAAACTGCTGCAGAGATGGATAGGGACAGACCCAAGGCATCTTGTCTCAAAGATGGAAGGGTTAGAATTTTGCCTAGATATAAACAGGATAAAAATAACTGCTTTTACATTAATGAAGATTATCTTACTGGCTGGAGCAATAGCATTGTGGGTAGGGCGTTTACCTTGCACATGGCTGACCCAGGTTCGATTCTTTGGTCCCTCTCGGAGAGCCCGGCAAGCTACCGAGAGTATCCTGCCCGCACGACAGAGCCTGGCAAGCTCCCTGTGGTGTATTCGATATGCCAAAGACAGTAACAACAAGTCTCACAATGGAGACGTTACTGGTGCCTGCTCGAGCAAATTGATGAACAAGGGGAGGATAGTGCTACAGTGCTATCTTAAGGGCCACAAATACTTATGGGCAAAGAGACTTTCCTCTCATCTTTGGGGGTCGCCTCCTATGCGATATTTTTATGTACTAAATGCTGCTTGGTGTTGCCACTGAAACTTATTAATATTTTCTCCTAGATTTTGGAAATAATCAGGGTTATTTTAAAACTATATGAACAGTGGAAGAATTTTGATGAGAGAAAAGAGATGGCAACTATTCTTAGTAAGATGCCAAAACCAAAACCTCCTCCAAACAGGTACTTTAATTAATGATTCCTTTTAATTATATCTTTCCATATACATTATCACATTTTTTCATAAGTTTTTTTCCTTAATTATTTTAAAACTTTATAATATACATAATTTGTAACGAATTTGTGACTTGATTGTCTCATTTTAAATTAATTTGATCGTCTAATAACTTTTTCTAATGCAATGGCAGGTCTATTACAGGTATTCCTCAACATATGGGTATATACTGTATATAAATTTAAACAGTAAAATTAGTTAAGTTCATCTGATATTCAAGGGTAAGAATTATGTGTAATCCCATATCAGATAGAATCTTATCCATCTACCACTCTGCCTCCACTCCTGGATTACTCTCTTTTATAAATTTTATTTGCAGATTTTAAGAATTAATAGAAAATAATTTTGGCTTTTGAGTGACTCAAAGATCCTTGGCACCTATGACTTAATTTTGTCAGATATAAATCATTTGTGCTAAGAGGGATTTTTTGTTGTTGGTGGTGGTATCCTTAATTTTTTTTAAAGTGTCTGTTCATTAAGTTCAGTTGTTCTCAGCTTTCACTATGCATCAGCTCATTTGGGGGCAGGGAAAACAGGTCAGAGGGTAAGAAAAAATGCAGCCCATCTTAATCATTTATCAAGAAAAATAAGTTGTATAATTAAGATAGATTGTAGATCTTATAAGTGAATGTGTAATTGGACAACATTAATTCTTAACAAGGAGCTGTTGAAGGCAGTCATTCAAACAGCTACCTTTGGATGAATTTTTTACAGAAATTCCCTGAGTGATTCTCCACTAGTGGCAGGGCCTGAAGCTGCAAGATGATGATGGACAAGATAAGGCAATAATCCTATTGCCACAGTTACTGGTATTTTCAGTTTTAGTTATTTTATTTTATTTTAATTTTTTGGCATTTTCCAGAAAATAACCATATTTATTACATATAAAGGCTTACTGTATTTACATATGATTTTATTATGCCTTTGGACAGTTTTTGGTTATTTTTGGAAGAACACTTCTTGATTTTCATGATTACTAGGAATAAAACTTTATTTGTAAGATTCAGTTTTACAGAAAATTTGTTCAGAAGTTCTAATCTCTATGTTGAGTGATGCCTGTAATGACAATGAAATCCCATACCCTTATTTAAATTTGTTGAGTTTTTTGGACACTGACTTTCAGAATGCTTGCTATGTGTGAGGGCACTAAGTTACATAAGAATAAAAATATAAAACCAAGTGTTAGTGTTCTGAATTTTAATTTTTCCACTTTTGTGTATTTATAGTTGATAATGTTTTATAGTTTTCCACAGAATAATTAAAAAAAATTAGTATACTTGCCAGGATATTGAAAATGAGTCTTTTAATTGGTATAAAATCTTTTTCTTCCCCACATGAACAGTGAAGGAGAGCAGGGTCCAAATGGAAGTCAGAACTCTAGCTACAGCCAATCTTAAAACATTCCGAAGAATTTCATAGTGGACCAGTTGGAAATAAAGCCATTGGACAGATTTCAATAATGTCTTCAATGGAACACAAACGAAAATGAATAGCTTGTTTCTGTCAAGCATATTGGGAAGTGATCTTATTTTTGCAAAATAAGTTTTTCCTTATCTAATTTGATTCTAGTACATAATTGATTAAAATCTCTTGATTATAAAGTTTGGAAAGGTTCTGAGGGGACCTATATAGATAGAAAGACATAGACAGGTTGTGATTAGTATAATTATTTTAGTTTGGTTTAGTTTAGAATTGAAAAATTCAGCTTTTCATTAAGCCAGGAAATAATTTGTTGAAAATTCTCTTGGGTCATTAAAGGGACCAAAAAGGACATTAAGATACCAAGTATATGAGATTTTTTTCCCCCTCCCTTTTAAGTTTGGAATTATATTTAAGGGATCAAGTCTTAACAAAATCATAGTAGATTTGAGTAATGGCATTAATAATTTCAGGGAAATTAATCAAGTATCTATTAATTTTAAAGTGTATTTTATTCAGTTCTTTTGGTATCTTGCCATGGAAGATATTAGCCCAGCCTAGCAGAAAAGTGCAATATGTATAGCATGCTTTGACCTTTTAATTCCATAACCATTTTTGATATGCTGGGCAAAATTTCTTTTAATTCTCTATAAAGTTATTTGCAATTAATTTATAGTTAATCAGGCATTTTGAAAGCTAATTGGATAAAACATAATGTGGCTGAAATTTGGTAACAATTTAATGTTACTTCTTGTTCTACTGTGAAAAGTTTTTATATGACATACACATCCTATTTTATTTTTGTCTCATTATGGATTTACAAATTACTTTAGATATCCTGAGCCAGGAACACAATCAGGTCAGGTCAGTTTGATACTGACTATTCTTAATTCTCATTTATGAGTGTAGGATTTAAGACAATGTTATGTTGATGGGACTGCTATCTGTGGAACTTAATGAATTAATCATTTTCTTCAGACTTGAAGGAGAGTGATAACTAAAATTTGGAGTCATTGGATATTGCTGTATACCTTAAGGGTTATAGTTTTTTAATAAATCATTTGTGAACATTGAATTATTAAATGTTGACTTCCTAGTATAAAACTTAAAGAATAAAATTAAATTCTCCAGCTGTATTGACTAGTGTCTTCAGTGCATCTTTCTGAATCTGCTTTATACTGTTTTCTGAGAGTTCTTCCTTAGGTGAATATTAAAAGCTTTCCATAGTTTTATTAAGTGAATGATTTTAAGAGGTTTATCAACAGACTGCTTTCTGTAGAGTATCGGATGACCTCTAGAAAGGAAGACTATGCATACATTCAATACCAGTAATAAATACAGCTCTCTAGTTTTCTGAGCAGGATAAAATATAAGGAAAAAAGCTCTCCTCAGGTCTGAACGAGTTGAGGTTAGGCTTGGGTTGGAAGGGCAGAATGATTATATATAACTCTGATTTTTCCTTTAAGCTTAGTTAAGTTCTCTTCTAGTTTTAATTTTAAATTAAAAAGTATGCTTTGTAGTTATTTGCAGCCTATTGTAGAAGTCAAAACTGTATAGTAGATAAAAAAGTGTAATAAACCTATTGCCCAGGTATAATTACCAATTTGTAGCCAGTTTCATTTCATCTAAACTTCAGTTCACTTCCCTTAACTTTTATATTATTTGTAAGCAAATCCAAGTTATTACATATCAGAATGATTATTTTATTATGTATTCCTAAAATATGATTCTAGAATATAATGGATTCTATTTTGGGCCAGGGACTTTTGGTGGGTCCTTCTCACATAGTGCTCAAAGGACCATGTGATGTTAAGGGATCAGTAATCACTCCATTCCTTTGAATTATCTCTCAGGTCCCCAAATAATTTTTTTAAACTATAAAAATTAATAAATCTAGTTAGGATCAAATTAAGGACCATTATTATAGTTCGTTGATAAATCCTTTCAATCTTTGTAAGTTCATGGACTCCTTCTAATCTCATTTTTAAAATGTCCCATTTGATTTGCTTGTCTTCAACCATATGAACTTTACTGGTTGCATCCTTGATGTGTTATTTTACATCATTCTTTTTCTGTAAATTGATTGGTGACTGAATCTAATAATCAGGATTGGGTGTTTTTATTTTTTTTTTTCAAGACGACTTTGTGGGGCCAAAGCTGTAGTATAGCAGGTAGGACACTTGCCTTGTGTGTGGCTGACCTAAATTCGATCCTCGATGCCATATACAGCCCAAGCCATAGTACAGCAGGAGCAAGTAGATCACCAGGAGTGATCTCTAAGTGCAGGCTAGGAATTAAGCCCTTAGCACTGTCAGAGGTGGCCAAAACTCCCCACAAAAAACTACTATGAAAGGTTCCATTAGCAGTCATAAAAACCTAGTTTCTCTGATTTAGCAGAATTGTTTTCAGCCACCAGTCTACAGACCTAAAAGTGTTGAAAACCACTCATTCAGCCGCCATTTGTGATATATTTGGGGTTTTGTGAATTTTCATAGGGGAGAGAGTGGGCTCATACCTATAGGTATTGGGAGGGAGTTCATGTCCTAGAAAATACATTCAGGTTTTCACACATGCAAGGCACTTGATCCACACTCCACTTGAGCCACATTCTTCGATCTCTGGTGGATGTTTTTAAGAGACTAAATATTGTAGACTGCACTGTGATATCAGCACTAACTACTGAGTATGGTAATTGATCAGTAATACCTATGGCTATTTAACACACACAGTATTTCTAGTCTGAGTTGAGATATGCTATGTATTAAAATAATACACCAGATTTCAAATAGGAGAATATAAAATATCTTAGTAATTTGCTTAAGTGTTTATATTTTAAATATTTTTTTGTATGCACCAGGCTATACGATGAATTCGCTTTTTACTTTTTTCAAAAGAAAATTAAGAATATGTGATAATCTACTTTATAGTTCAGTTGGCTAGTGTTGCTATGATATTAGGAAAATGTTAACCCTCTCTCCTGTTTTCCCTGCACCTCATTTCTGTTTCCCAAAGCAACCACTTTCAATTTTTATGTTTCTATTTTCAAGTAACAAGTACTTGAAAATTCATTGAGTACTTACTTTATGAGACTATGATGTTAACACTCTACAAAGTTGGTTAAAACTTTCAGAAAAATCATTTTTGGGATGAGGTAACTGAGGACAGAAATTTAAATGATTAACCCATTTGCTGATCATGGGGCAAGAGTTGGGATTACATTAGTCGATGAGCTACCGATCCCATGCTCTTAATTAGTTTATGATACTACCTCCTCCCCCTACCATACATTTCTTTTTCCCTTTTTCTTTGGAATTTTTTTTTTTTTTTTTAGTTATCAATATCTGCTCATTTCCAAATAGGGAAGATGAAGACTTCACTTGCTCATCCCTTACCCCATCCTCAACCATGTTCTGTACTGGGTCTTTTTTACTCCCATCATTCCTCACAATTTAACTGCTTAATTTTTGTTAAATTTATATTAAGTATCATAATATATTCAATAACACACTAACATATTTCTGGCTTTATGGAAGTAATTGTCTTCATTACAATTTGCAGTACTTACTTTATGTCTTTTATTATTACTTAAATTGATTGTTAATGACTTATTCTCTGATTTACTCACCAAGATATATTCTTCCTCAGATCCATCATGTTTTTATTTAAGCATCTTAAGCATGGAGTTTTGTGTCTTTTTGATTCTGCCTTTGGTTTAATAGATTTCATCCTCAAGTAATTTCTTGAGAAAAGGTGCATTGAACGTTCCTTTTTCTTTTAAATAGTACCTTGTTCTTTTTTTTTTTCTTTTTTGCTTTTTGGGTCACACCCAGCAATGCACAGGGGTTACAGGGGTTATTCCTGGCTCGTGCACTCAGGAATTATTCCTGGCAGTGCTCGGGAGACCAGATAGGATGCTGGGAATTAAAACTGGATCTGCCTCATGCAAGGCAAACGCCCTACCCACTGTGCTATCACTCCAGCCCCCAGTAGTACCTTATTCTTGCCTTAAGAGCACAGCATATTTCAAGGGTTTTAATCTAGGTTTTTGTCTTAAAAAATGCTTTAACATTTTCTTGAAATTCTTTTTGTTCAGTTTGGTCAGTTAGAACTGTGCCCTTTTTAGGGATTCATCATATTTGAAATTTTCTGTGCATAGGTAAGACTTTTCCATGGTTAGCTTCACTGTAGGGTAAAAGAAGGAACAACCCTTTTTGTTAGCCATCCCTCCTACCCCAGGCATATTCTCAAGTTTTCCCTTTGGGATGGATCCATTTTTCTAGTGAAATAGGTTCTAGTTTTTCACTAGAGGCAGTATGAGTCAGGCTGTCAGAATTTGAGAGACAAGCTTCAAACATATGTAAATACAGCTACAGTTAATTAAATACTTTAGTATTTATTTTCCTTTTTAAAATGTCAGAAATCTAATAACAATTATGGAATCCGGTTTAAGTGTCTCTGAGTAGAAATAAGTTTCTATCACATGCGTATAAGAAGTATTTTACCTTTGAAGCATGCTAAAATAAAATGTTAACAGTTCTGTTAAACCCCAAAGAAAACCATTTTGTATTTGGTGTTTTTTATTCTCATCATTATACTTACATGTGTGCATATATATATATATATGATGTTTTGCATATTTTCAAGTTGTCTAGTATGTTTCAGCATTGTGAGTCATCTGTGTTAATTTGTATACCTCAGTGTTTTCATTTTCAGTAATCTTCATTAACTGTGTCATATTTGCTGTTAAACCATCTGTTTTATTTGTCTTTTATTCCAGTCATTGTAATTTTCAATTCTAGGCTTTCCACTTAATAATTTTTGGTAGTTTCTACTTCTCTAATAAATTTTCTATTTTGTCCTCTAAGAATTACTAGATATGACAACTACTTAAGTCTTTATCAGAAAATTCTAATATGTAGATGTATTTCTAGTGTCTTCCTTTTCTCTAGTTTTCAATCATATGATCCTATTTACTACTTCTACTGTCTCCCCTTCCACTACCAACCCACCAACACCCACTCCCTGCTCTGCCCCAAATACACCAAGGATCAAATGCAGGGAGCGCCTCACACATGAAAAGCAAGTGTTCTGCCACTGAGCTACATCCTTGTCTGACTCCTAGTAAGTTTCAATAGATTCTAAAACTCTGTATATAACAAAGTAGGGAATACTTTGGCTCTGGTTTAGTAGTCTTGTTACCTCTACCCCATGTGCCAAACCAGACCTGTCTTCTGTTTTTCACTTAATTTTTACCTAAGAATGAATACCTGTTATATTTTAATATTGTTTTAAATATTTAAATAAAATTATTTGGCAATACATCAAACTTACATAAAATGCAGTATGTTTTTCTTTGTTTTATTGGAATGAAGTACAATTTATTTTTGTATTTATTGACTATTGGTACTTTTCTGCTACAGAAACAGTATACTAAGTACTTGCAACTGAGACTAATGTCACAAACCAATATACTATTGACAGCTTCAGCTCTAACTAGATAATGGTATCTCTCTCCAAATTTACTTCTGTTAAGTCCTTAAGGTATCAGGAAGATCACCTTAGCTCATTTGAAGTTTGGTTGATTCAAAGCTTGTTTTACTGGGGCTGGAGCAGGTAGGATGTTTGCCTTGCACTTGTTAGGCACAGGTTTGATCCCTGGCATTCCGTATGGTCCTCTGAGCACTGCCAGGAGTGATTCCTAAGTACAGAGTCAGGAGTAACCCCCGAACATCTCCGGGAATGACCCAAAAAGATGGGGGGGGGGGGAAGCTACTAGTCTTTTTTTGTAAGGGTTAGTTGATTACTACCACCTCTGTGGGTATAGCTTTTTAGGGATTCTAGCTAAAAGGCTGGCATTTTTATGTAGACCCAGAAACATTACTATTCCTTGATAGACCTGATACTTCAATATTGGTTTGTTCTCTATAGCTTTCCCTCTCTGTGAGAATAGATTCTTTAAATTCTTTTTTCTTTATTTTGTTATTTGGGTCACACCCAGCGGTGTTCAAGACTTACTCCAGGCTTTCCCTCAGGAATTACTCCTGGTGGATGGGCTTGGGGGACCATATGGATGCTGAGAATTGAACCTGGGTCAGCCGTGTGCAGGGCAGACACCTGACGTGCTATACTATCTGGT